AAAGTAGCAGAACAAAAATTAATGCCTAAAATGTTTTATAATGCAGAAATTTGAGATTATACATTTGCATAATAATTGAATAAAAAAATTAAAGTATGTTAAAGAAAAAAATAAAGAAAAGAAAGAACTAAAAAAAGAAAACAACAAAAACAAAAAAAAAACTGAAAAGCCACAAAAAAGTAAAAAGCATGATACGAAAGTAAAAAGCAACGAAAAAATAAGAGAGAAAAAAAGGAATAGAGTCATAACAGTCATCACCAAAAAATGAAGTGCAGCGGAGGAAAAGAAAAGTCATCACCGAAAAACAAAGTGCAGCGGAGGAAAAGAAAAAGAAGTGCAGCTGAGGAAAAGAAAAGCAACATCATCCACTGACCTACCTTTTACCCCTGTAACGTGGATTTAATTACATAAAAACCTGGGTGTACCATGCTCCTACGTACAGCCGGCTGTACGGTATATATTACCGCTGGAGGGGGCCTCGGCCCCTGCAAGAAAAAAAATCTTAAGTATATAATATGTATAAATACTTTTAATCTGTAGAAAATGTGTTGATATTTCAAAGTTTGGCCTCTACAATGTAAAATATTTAAGGAACGACCCCTTTAATCATAAATTTCTGGCTCCGCCACTGGCCCCCAGGGTCTCTACTACGGTCCACCCCTGATTGTGACACGTTTCCCCTCTCGTGCTGGTTTAATCCCGAGCACTCCTAGTGGTGCCGCTTGGATGACACCTCCACGTCTGCCGACGTTGGATGATGCATGTGTACATCCATGTCTTCGCGAGGCATCAACTTTGGAAACGTTGAGTCTAGGGGTGGGATTTTGGAACCGGGAACCGTAGAACCGATTGGAACCGAACCGTTAACAACATCTAGGAACCGAACCGTTAACAATTAATGCCTCATTTGTAGGAACCGAACCAAAACGGGTTATAACGGTTCGGTTCCCGGTTCCTATAAAAAATATGTGCATAGAAACGTTAAGGAACCGTTATTAAAAAAAAAATAGTAGTAGTAGTAGTAGTAACAACAACAACAACAATAATAATAATATAATAGCAATAATAACCACCACCACCACAACAATAATAAAAAAACAATATAAGATATTTAACTAACAATTCTAATTTAATCAATGGAAAAGAAGTAATAAATATTGTACATGAGGTTGATATAATACATTAAACTCCTTTCTACAAATCAAGTTTTGTTCCATCACATAAATTTTATAAATATAAAATAACCCAAATAACTTGTAGTTGATTGCACATATTTTACTTTACTATTTTCATGATATTTCTAATTATTAGATTTATTATGAATCAATAGAATGTAATAATGTTTTTTTATATCTATACATGCAAAATCAATGTCTTTTTTTGTATGTTTTGAAAGACTTGAAGTAGGCGTCCTATTCTTGCTACTATGATGACGAGTAATCTTCATCGCTTCGACACTACAACGATTTTTAATGTTTGATTTATTACATGAAAATTTAAATCACTTTTGTTCTATTACATGACGAGTAATCTTCATCGCTTCGAAAATTTAATGTTTAATCTTCAAAGTTTATTAGTTAAGTTTGAGCTTTGATGTTTGAAGTGATTAGAGCTTCAAATAAAATTTTAATACTCGTGTTTTGAATTTTCGACGTGTTTAAATTATGTGTTAATTCTTAGACGAGAAAAAATTATTCTAGGAACCGGTAAAAGGAAGAACCGAACCGTTTACTACCGGTTCGGTTCCATAACGGTTCTTGATTTTTTCTATAGGAACCGAACCGATTTCGTTAGTTAAAATTTTTATAACGGTGCCACTCATTTTGAGTAAGAACCGAACCGGTCCCAGGCCTAGTTGAGCCTAGGCCCCAAGGCCCGAGTTGCCTCCAGTAGGGCATCCACTCTAGCATTTAGAAAAATTAGTCTCAGCTTCAATCTCTCGTTTACTAATTTCTTCTACCGAATTCGAGTGATTGTAGTATGTTGGTTTCTTTTATTCTGCTTGCTTTAAAATTAGCTCGACCTTTGTTCAATTGATTGACTTTGTTCAATCAGGAATTTAGGGCTATTGACCTATCGTTGAAGTTGATCATCTGGTGAAGCATCTCGATGTAGGATTACTTTTGAATGGTACAAAGTTTTTTCTTCACATACTTGATTGCTCCCTTTTACTACCTCTGTCCCATATTGGTTGTCCACTTTCAATTTGACATGATTACTAATAAAGTGATTGAAAAGTAAAAATTGTGTTTGCGATTTGAGTAGAATAATAGGTAGTAGTTCCTCATCCCAAATATTTTGAATTTTATTAGGAAATGGTATTCGTTGGAATAATATCATATGATAATTATAATTTCAATAGAAATTGAACAACTTTTTTTTGAACCTTGTATGAATTAAAAGTTGAACAACTACAGTGACATTGGGATCTGGTGATTTATTTGATTTTTAAGACTAACACGTAGTACATATTAAAAAACTAGTTGTTTTGATACAACATTCAAACTTTAATCTCAAAAGATAGTAGAGAAAAACTAATTGTTCTGATATTTGATCAAAATTCATACCTTTCACTACCTATGCACTGTAGTTTTGAATTTTTAGGTAAATTCATCACAATTTTATATTTATGTCAATCTTTTGTAATTTACGGATAAAATGTACATGTTGAACTCATCCAAAAAAATGCAAAGTCAATTGGGCATACCCCTGTCAAAAAGTCCAAAAACAAATCCAAAAACATCAAAGCTAAAGAAAGCTAACCTATCCATACAACCACACCCCCACCCCACACCTTTCGGTTTGATAGTTGTTTGGTAAAAAGGTGACTGTTTGAGTTAGTTCGATTTGGTAAAAAGGTGACTGTTTGGTAAAAAGGTGACTGTTAGGACTAAATAATACTAAAAGTCACGAGCTTTTCTCAGGTGTAACATTTAAAAAAGATCTTTTAATTTTTGAAAAATTGTTAAAAAATGTCATGCCAAACATACAACTAGAGTCTTTTAAGGTCTTTTTGAAGAATAGAAAAATTAGAGGCTTTTGTATACCAAACATAGCCCTAGTAAAAGGAAGCAGCAGCAATGGACTTGCAAGGTTAACCATAAATGAAACAAAACCCAGCGGCCCAAAAACAAAACCATCCAAGCCCCCCCACGTGGTCAACAAGAAACACGCAGCCCATTCCAGCAACCCGACAGCGGAAACCCTATGAAGATGCGGCGCTGGAGAGAGGAAAATCAGACTTCCAGTCGCAGCCAGCAGGAAACAGGACAAGCAGCTCCAAACGCCAAGCGTAAAACTCACGCCAGGGACTGAAAACAAAGCAGCCCAAAAACCCCAAAAATAATATTCTAACTCATGGTCTACCCAATCTCCTCCGTTCGCGTTTCAGTCGCCTACCCCTGATGGCAACCGGACAATGGCCACAGGGATAGATCCAGGATTTCGAGTTAAGGGGGTCGGAATTTTTTCATTAGTGTATGGAGTGAAAAAATTTCGCTAGTAAGCGGAACGAGAAAAAAATTGCTAATGTAGCGGGGCGAATTTTTTCTGTAGGACTTTGTGGCTATTTAAAAAGTTCCATTAGTACATACTACATACACGATGACAATTAAATCTATTATATTCTAATTTTAGACAATGAAAAGTTAACTTTGATTTAATAACTATAAGTGCTGCAGAAAAAAAAAATTGATACATTAAAGCTTAAGAAATGACAAATTAAAGGAAAATTATTTGAAAATAAGAAAGAATATGATATACGCAGTATAACATTTTATGATATTATTTGAAGGTAAAGTGGTTAAAGTTAAAGGTACACATCAACCAATGTTTTTTAAGTAACTTATGTCTTGTTTAACCACATGAATCTTAACAGGATAAAGAATTGATTTTTGAATTGAGATTTTTGTCTACCAAGAAGGGAATTTGTGGGTCATGATGAGTTTTCTTAATATTACAATAGTATGTATGAGATTATTATACTTAGAATAATATGATACGTAGTAATGTTAATTCATATATATATATATATATATATGGTGCATATTATATTTGTATTAATGCTAAAATAAGTTAAAGTATTATCTATTCAACAAATTGTTTTTAGAAAGTAAGAGGTAAATGAAATGTGTAATTTAATGTCAACAAACATTTATACTATTTAACTACAGTATCTGATATTCAATATCTTTTGATATCTTACAAAATCGAGTACTAATTATCTAATAAAGATAATTAAACATTACAAAACTAAGAATTTTTTGGTACCCTAAGTCTTAAGCAACGAGTTCTATTGTTTATTTGTTTAAGTTATGTAAATTATTTTAGATTCTACTTTTTTTAAATCTCCAATTAAGCATTGCATTATGTGAGCCTATATATTAATTTTGAAAACTAAAAGTTAAGGAAGCGAAAACAAATATACCTAATTAAAGTATGAAAATTTTATGAAAATATTATACATATAGTAGAAATTTGGGATAAAAAAAAGTATTTTATCCCGTGCACGGCACGGGTATGTTAAATGTTTATTGCAGATTTTATTTCACTTTATAGTCATTAATGTTGCTTTCCACATTAGTTTATTAAGTTTCTCTCACTGATTATGTGAAGTTGTAAGATGGATTGTGCACTGTTCGGTCAATATGTTGATCAATTCAACGCATACAAAGATTCAGTGGGTTCTCACAATTTTGTTATGATTATTCAACTAGCTAAAGCTAAGACCTGGCAAGGTTTGGAACTTCCTATGTTACATATGATCTAAATCTTTAGACTTTACTCTATAATCATATTTACTCTGTGTGTTTTACTTCTACAGGCAGAATTGCATTACAGAATGCATTCAATTGCACAAAATTGATATTCAATCCTTCATGTGCCGAAGCTGATGAATTGAGGAGCAAGTATGCATTCAATGTTCAGATTATAATTGATCATGAATCATAGTTTAGATATTTACTGACATATTAAGCTCATATGTTTGAATGAATGATGTCCAGGTTGCCCGAGAGGACCAATTCTACACCCCAAAACCTAAGTCAGTTAGGTGCCTCGGGTAACATGACAATCGATGAAGAATTTCTCACCAAAACTCCAAGAAAAACCATTATGGAGCTAAAAGACTCAAAAGAGGTATGATGCCCTAAATCTTGAAATTAAATTGGGATGTAAATTGACTATTAACAACTATTGTTTTTGTTTTACAAAAAGAAAATACTATGTGTTGTACTCGCTACTATCAATGTCGTGATTGATCAAGAGGATTGGTGGTACACTGCATGTTCATGTGGCAAAGCTGTTTATCCAGATTCAAAAATGTATTTCTGTGAAAAGTGCAACAGGCATATTATGAATGTCATCCCAAGGTACTCTCTATTTATTTTAAAAAGTTAAGTGTATTTCCTAAAATCAATCTAGGTTTCACTCTATTCATGTGTTTACGCTACATGTAACAAACTGCTACAAGTATCGCATAAAAGTTCGTGTAATGGACGACACAGATTCTGCAACATTTGTCCTTTTTGATCGAACTGCTACATCTATACTAAATAAAACATGTGCCGCCATGATAGAATCCATGGATAAGGTCTGTGTACATGTTATGCATGTGTAATTACACATTGAGCTTATACATTTCTTTACAATCTTCCATTTTAATACTAAATGAGTTTATTCAAAATAGAATGCTGGCGGGTTAGCAACTCCTCCTGATATAATGGCCTTGACGGGAAAACAATTTGTGTTCAAGCTCGATATCAAAAACATTGCTGAATCTCGGTTTGAACCATCATATGTGGTAAATAAAATATGCTCTAATGTAGACATTATAAAAAAGTTCAAGGAATTGATCGCCGTAGAGGTAATACATCTTACTGTGTTGCTACTCTTCTACCCATTGCCATTGTTATGATTAATTTTATGTAATCATTTTGTGTCATATTCCAAAATATTTATTACTCAGGAAAGCTATGACGAGTTCAATCCATTAAATGAAGTTGCTGCAAATCCTAATAATATCCAGGTAAGCAATTTTATCTAAATCTAGAAGCTAAACTTCAACATCCTCTTGGTATGTTAATATATACTCCGTATACTACTAAGTAGTTCAAAGTTTGATAAGATCAATTCATTTGATGTGTTAACATATAAGTCGGTATGTTAAACTGTGATAAATAATTTGCTTGGTATGCAAATTTTTATATAGTTCGCTGCTATATTATCCTATTAATTAATAAGTTGTAATTTTGTTTTCAGGCTTCCCTTATGCCTCAATTTACAGAACTAAGTAGTCAAACAAGCAGTGAAAAGGAAAGCAACGAAGAAACGTGCCTAAACTCTACTCAAGATTCTGATGATTTGGTGCTCATAAGAAAAAGATCCTTTGAAAACGACATTGATGAGGCAGATAAATCAAGTGCTAAAGTCTTGAAGACAAACATAAAGATTGAAAAGATTTAGCATTGTCATAGTTTTAGTTGTTCATAGCTTTTATTTTTCCTTTACTGCTCCATATGGGTTTTCAGCATGTTGCTGAAAACAAACATGTTTATTTGTGCGTAGTTCCAAAACTTCATTTAAATCAATTTCCACTATCTCTATTAGTTTATCACATTCATCTTTAACTTTATATTATTTATGGATATATATAGTTTAAAATTAATGTAGTCTGCACATTCAATAGTTACTTTAAATGAAATAGCGATTACCATGGATCTGAAAGTACGACACACATTTTTATAAACTATTTGTTACAATATTTGTTTCTAATTGGTAAATAAATAAATAAATAAAATATATCAAATAATATAAAGGGAAAGTTCCCGAAATGGGACTAAAAAAGTTTGAAAATTCCAAAATAGAACTGTCATGTTTTTATTCCCAAAATAGGACTAATTACTGCCAAATTTGGAAAATACTGCCATGTTTGAAGTCTGGTACTGCCAAAACATGACAGTAATTAGTCCTATTTTGGGAATAAAAACATGGAAGTCCTATTTTGGAATTTCCAAACTTTTTTAGTCCCATTTTGGGTAATATCTCTAATATAAATTGTACATTTATGTTTTATCTCCATAAGATATTGAGTAAAATTTATATAAATTGTGAAGTGTTTCTGAAACAATCACTTAATCCCCTGTATCAAGAAAATCAATAATTTTAGATGTTGTTATCAAAATTAAAAAAGGCATTTTACAAAATATATATTTTATATTAAATTACTAAGTTTTTTTATCAAAATATAATTTATATTTTATAATTTTAACTTAAGTTGTATAGATATAACTATTAAATTCTACTTTTCACTTTTTTGCATTATTGATCTATTTTGTATTTAACAGATTTTGCATTTAGTTGTACGTTTAAAAAAAAATCAGAATATATTAATTTATTTTATTTTTCTCAAAAAGGGACAAACTATAGTGGGTAAAGAAAATAAAAAATTTAAAAACAGTTATTCAAAAAACGAGCCCAAATCAATTAATTTATGTAAGACCCAATTATTTAAAGAGTATGTTACTTCAAAACTTTTATTAAAAATAGTAATTACTAAAAACCATCTATATTATATACTACCTCCGTTCCCCTAAGTTTGGGACAAGAGAAGGTGACACGGTTATTAATAAAGTAAGAAAGATTTACCTCCGTTCCCCTTAGTTTGTATGTATTAACAACCAACATTATAATCGATAAGATACTCGAATTTTCATTAGTTATAATAACCCATACATATTTCAACACCAGCATGCGCGCGCACACACACATATATATAAATGTGTGTATATATATAGTGAAATTAAAAATAAAAATATTTTATCCCGTGCACGGCACGGGTAACGATACTAGTTATACATATAGTAGAAATTTTGGAAGTCCTAAGGCCCCGCGCCCCCCTTGGATCCGTCCCTGAATGGCCATATTCTAAATGGTCTCCGGAAGAAGATGATCGTCTGAAAAACAAGCTAGGCACCATCAACTAGCGGCCATATGAAATAGCAAAATCGGACAGATGAAAGTGAGATGGCAGCCAGAAAAAACTGTCCACCATGGCCAAGACAGAGCAGAGTTCTCAGGAAGAAGATACACGAATTCGTTGAAGAACAGGCTAGCGGCCAAGAAGATGAACAAAATTCGCGGGTGAAACCCAAGGTAGCACGGAACCACCAAGAGCTCTCTCCAATAAATAAAGTACCAGTGAACCAGAACCTTTCAATACCAATTTCAACGTCTTGCCAGAGGCAATATGCTACAGACGCTGAAAAGCTTTCGCCATGGTAATTATTGGGAAGAGGTAGAAAGCGGAGGTGGAACCACGCCGCTTAATCTTTTGTAATTTAATTTACATATATGCTGTATAGTTATATGTAAAAGATACCTCTTCATGAAGTCACTTCAAACAATAAGGACCAAAAGAGAATGCTATAAGAAAATGGGCAAAAGTCAGGGTGATAGAACTTATAGGAGTACAAGGAGGGGCAAAGAAAGATGTGAAGGAAGCCAGATGAAAAGTGAACAAGGAATTGTATGTAAAATTTGACTCTAAGGAAGGAGAAAAAGATATCTACAGACTTGCTCGCCTTCGTGATCGTAGGACTCAAGATATCGGAAAAGTTAAGTGTGTGAAAGATGTTGATCAAAGGTACTAATGGAGGATGAGGAAATAAAAGAGAGGTGGAGGTCATACTTTGATACCTTGTTCAACGAGAATAAAGTGCAAGGTATTGACGATCTTACTATACCAGAGTGTATGGTAAATTGGGACTTCATAAAAAGGATTCAAACAACAGAAGTTAAAGAGGCTATGAGAAAAATGGGGTGGAAGAAAGCAGTGGGCCCAGATGACATACTGATCGAGGTTTGGAGAAGTTTGGGAGAGAAAGTTATCAAGTGGCTAACAGATTCTTCAACATGATTTGGAGAAACAACAAAGTGTGAATTGGCGGAAGAATACTCTCATTCCACTATTTAAAAATAAGGGTGATTGTTAGGAATATTGTACTTGTCTTCTTATAATAAGTCTAGACTATATAGCAGATTAGTACCAGTCAGCATGTTATAGTAGTTCAAATCTGTTGTGAGTTTGTTAAAGTCTTGATGATTATAAATACATGTACTGATCACTGAAATCAATGAGAAGCATTCTTTCCAAATCCTGTTGCATTTCTAATATGGTATCAGAGTTGTAGCTCGTTCCTTCCAAGACGAACTCAAGTTCAACTTCCGCCTCTTCTTCAGTCACCGGAAACATCTCTATTCCGGCGACGTTCACTCATCCTCTTCCTATTAAGCTTGATTCCAATAATTTCCTTCTGTGGAAGCATCATGTAGAATCCATCATTCGAGCTCACAAACTTCTCAAGTTTGTTGAGAAACCTGAAATTCCTGAACAATTTGTAGCTGGCGAAGGTGACAGAATCAAAACTGTGAACGAAGCGTACACTATCTGGGAACATCAAGATCAAATGTTGTTTTCATGGCTCCTCTCATCGCTTTCTGAATCGATTCATACTCGAGTTATTAATTGTCAACACTCACATCGATTGTGGAGTGAAATACACAAATTCTTTCAATCGAACATTATCGCTAGGGCCAGGCAGCTCAAATCGGAACTTTATTCATCTGGAAGAGGTGATCGATCAATTCCAGAGTATCTTCTTCGGATTCAAAATATCGTTGATAACCTTGCCAATATCGGAGAACCTATATCCACAAAGGATCATATCAACGTCATTCTCGAAGGACTTCCTGAGGAATATGAATCTCTCGTCTCTTCTGTTTCTTCACGAAGTATTTTGGATCCGGTAACTATCACTGAACTTGAATTCTTATTGTTAGCGAAAGAAATACGTCAGAAGAAATTGCGTGAATCCACACAACAAACTTTATTCTCTGCGAATATAGCTTCTGCAACACATCCATCTCCAAATGTTGATTCTACTCATCCGGTCACTGTTGAAAATCCTTCAGCACATGTTGCTCAGTTCAACAACCCTAATACTAACAATTCCTACAAAGGACGAGGTCATGGAGGCTTTGCTAGAGGGCGTGGTGGTCGTTTTGGAGGCCGGAATTCTATTATCTGCCAAGTTTGTGAAAAACTTGGTCATAATGCCCTGAACTGTTACCATCGCTACAATCCTTGCTATATTGCTTCAGCCTATAGTGTTCCACCTTATACTCATCCCACTTCCAATGCTTCTTTCCCTGGAAACCAGCATAATAGTTCTTATCATCCAAATCACATCAATCCACAATCCACATATCCTTATCATTTTCATAACCATCAACAACAAGTTACTACTGATTCTTCTCCTTACAACCAGTGGCATCAACCTCCTACACACTTAACTCACTCAAACTCCAACAATTCCTCTCCAGATACATTTAATTGGCATCGTCATCAGCCTCCCACCCCTTCTCCCATTGCTGCAGTAGCCACAACTCATTCTTTTATGCTTGGTCCACCTCCAACATCTCAATATTGATTTCCAGACCCAGGAGCCACTCATCATGTGACTGCAGACCTTCTCAATCTCCAACACAACGAGCTTTTTGCTTCAACTGATAAGCTTTTTATGGGCAATGGTCAAGGTTTGGATATACAGTCTATTGGTTACTCTTCCTTTCCTTCACCTTATCATTCTTCTAAACTTCTTTCATTGAATAACATCCTGCATGTTCCTTCTATTACTAAGAATCTCAAATGTAAGTCAGTTTGCCAAAGAC